TGATTCTTGGCCCTTTCTCCTGTTTATGTCCTTAGTCATAGTGGCTTGAAGTAGAAGAGAGCGTGCTATGAGGGATAGGGGGGTTGGCTTCCATTTTTGCAGATCAACAACTGTTACTGTGTGTCGGGGACTGTGTACCATATGTACTAGTGATGACAGGAAGTTAAACAGTCCAGGAAAGTTACTTCTTTACATAAAGTAGTCTTTATCCTCAAGGACAAAGTTTTGATAATCTTAAATAGGTATGTTTAGTGCCATCTTTGCTTTGTGATAAAAACATTTATAATCAGACATAGTGTAAAGTGAAAAATACCCAGAATGCTTCTCCCTTTGACAAGGCTATGCCTAACCACTCCGTGCAGCACACTGTTTTCTTATGTTGCTGTTCTCTTCAGATGTATGCTTGTGGCACCATAGCAGATTGGACTTAGTGGTAGAAATATCTTTCAGCTACTAGTCTCCATGAGGAGGTGGCTTGGGACCTAGGTGTCAGTGAGTGACTGCTGCCAGTCATTGTGGAAACATGACAGCACGTCCCATCCAAGTATAGCTATTGATGCCCCGAGCTGAGCAGCAGTGTCGCTTCATCTTCTTGATTGCGTTTTTGATGTTTACACATAAGAATACAGATCTGTTGTGTTTACAGCAAGATGTTAGCTTTATACTGTAGCTCCCAGGGTACTGCAGAGCCTAGTTGCCTGTCTAGGCTCTGTAGTTGAGGGTTAAGTTGCAGGCATATCTGGTCTGTGGCCTGCAGGCTGCAAGTTTTCCTGTGTACCTATGAATGGTACAACATTAGGATACAATGTAAAAGGTCTGGACTTCTGCTAATATCTAGGTGGCCTAGTGAAGATGTTTGCTGGGGTAGTGCAGATTGGTACTAGAAGAGCTTAACATACTTGCTCCCAGGCATTCTTGTCAGCCTTCGAAAGTCTGTGATGTAAAGTGTCAGGGCATATAAGATTGATAAACCATGCCCCACTGGAGCCTCATCAGTGTGAGAAAGGAGTTAAGCTGTGGAGAATTGAGAACAAACCCTGGAAGCAGTGATGTGTGGTCTAAACCATGAACTTATAAATTCCTCACTTTTCAAAGATCTGGTATGTGTCATCAGCCACATATTAGCCTTTGTGCTTAGATTAGACTCAACAAAGGTGACTTTGAGTGGTTTTTATGCTGTGTGGATAATAGGGAGTCTTTGAATACATCCAAAGGGATGTACAAAGGTTACTACGATTTTGAGTTAACATCTAATTTTTAAGTGGCACTAGGTGTTTGTTTAATAAAGATATTAAATTTTAGTGTCCCACTGAGTTAAATAAAGCCCTGGGCTCTATCTATAGTTCCATGATGGGGAACACCCAAGAGCTTTGTCTCCCTTCAGAAATGTTTTTCTCTCTTTTTAGGCAAAGGTCAACAACTCTAGTTTAATTGGAGTGGGCTATACTCAGACTCTGAGGCCTGGTAAGTAGTGTTGATGAAGTGGGATTGTTTTTTTACAGCCCTTCCCTTTTAAAAAAGATTCATTTAAGTGTATGGGTGTTTTGTCTGCTTGTATATCTGTACACTGAAGAGGGCATCGGATCCCATGGGGACTACAGCCACCATGTGGGTGCTAGGAATTGAACCTAGGACCTCTAGAAGAACACCCAGTGTTCTTAATTGCAGAGGTATCTCTCCAGCCTCTCCCCCCCCCTTTTTTTTTGGGGGGGGTGGACAAGGTTTTCTCTGTAGCTTTAGTGTCTTTATGGAACTCTGTAGACCAGGCTGGCCTTGAACTCCCAGAGATCCGCCCGCCTCTGCCTCCCAAGTACTGGGATTAAAGATGTGCACCACCACTGCCAACTAACTCTAGCTCCATTTTTTTTTTTCGGTATTTTCAGAGTTACTATAGTACTTTTAGTTTATTATTTTGTGAACCTTTCAAGGCTGTAGTGGTGTTGGTCCTCCTTCCCTGAGAAGTTACAGTTTATCAGGGACCCCGGCCTTGCCCTGTAGTGAGGAGGTTGCTCTGAGTAAGCACAGCCGCCCTCACTCTGAAGAGCCCACTCCTTACCAGCTAACCTGCGTGTTGCGCCTCACTGCTGACTTCACTTGGGTTATTTGTACAATCTCCTTCATGCAGATTGTCACCCAGTAGGCCTGAGGTGGAGAGCTCTGTATTTCTAATGGGTTCTGGAGCACTCAGAACAGTTGACAATGTCCTAAAGCCCTGGTAGCCCAACTTCTAGTGGGGACCCCACTTCCCACACCTACAACTTAAAAGTGAACACTAAAGGGCCCCACTACTGCTAACATACTCAACACCCTTCCTAATTAGCATTATTTACCTAATGGGTACTTCTGCTTTTTCTACTTGTTTTCAGAGACCTCATAGGGTTCAGTTACAATCTGGCCTTTTGGGTGGCACCTAGTCTGGGTAGTATAGTGACTATGATTGCAGTTTAGAACACTTTAAACTTACTGCTAACCTTTTTTATGCCTCAAATGAACATTTCCCATAATTCCTAGTAGTATCACGGTTATCTAGTGCCTTCTGCTGGCTGGGATTAGTTTGGTAGCAGGCTGAGTGGTTGTCTTTATGGTGCTTTTCTTTGTTTATAGGTGTGAAGCTTACACTGTCTGCTCTAGTAGATGGGAAGAGTTTTAATGCTGGAGGCCACAAACTTGGGCTTGCCTTGGAACTGGAGGCTTAATCCAGTTGAAAGAAACCTCTGGGAACGGATATCAGAAGATTTGGCCTTAATATATTTCCATGTGACCAGCAGGCTCCCTCCTTCCCCCCCCCCCAGAAGGTGATCAAATCAAAGGATGATTAAACAAGAGCTGTATTTTAAATATTTAGACATTTTCCTGTTGGCTGGTTTTTTAGTTATCTGTGCTGCTGTCATGCAGCCACTTATACATTATTTAAATGTATTTAACTGTTAAATGTGCTACCCACCAATGATGAAATAGACGTTTATGAAAACCGTGCCATGGTGTGCATGTTTGTTTTATGTTCCTTTTAACATTGACTATTGTACTGAATGAGATGGATCAGTGGATGTTTTAAGATGAGGTAAAAGACTTTTTTTTTTGTTATATTCAGCCTTCATTAGAATTACTTTGGTGATCCCGAACATGACAAATCATGAATAAAACAAGTGTACATAACAAATGCCTCCACGTATGTGTGGTTACAGATTGGCCAGCCAGGGTCTCACCTTGGTAAATACTTTCTTCTGGTGAGCATTTGCTCTTTACCAAAATCTGTGCAACCAAATCCTGTGTCCTTAGCTTAATTCCACAGGGTCTTTGAGACTACAATAAAATCGGAGGATACATCTTTAACTCTTTCTAAGTTTCTAAGTTTGTGCAAAATTCTAGTGAATCACTGTTAAGCCCATGGGTGATGCAGCAGGGGTGCTGAATGGTTAAACAGGCATGCCACACCCTTCTGAGCCACAGCTACAGAACATGGAGTGCCAGGGGCGGCGGACAGCTGAGTAAGTGGGCGCCAGCAGGAAGTCATTGCTCTTCCCAGACACTGAAAAGCCGAGCTGAGGTCTAGGACATGGGCCAGCCCCCTTAGCCATCACTTGGGTGATCTGCATTCCCAGTGATCTCGAGGGGAAGAGGTATATGTAAGGAGGGAGGGACATTCACAGATGAGAGAAAGGTAGGCAAGTGTCACACTTCTGGAGTAAGTGACTGTTCTTCAGTTGGACGATTTGGAGGACAGCTAGGAGAATGCAGTACTTATGACTTCCCAGTAGAAATGGTGCATGTGAAGAGCCTAGTCTAGGTGGGAATTGGATGACAGAACTTTAACATGTAGGGGCTAAGGGGCACAAAAGTGCCTTCTGGCCCCACTGTTCGCCCTATGGAATTGGCAAGTGGGGAGGGGGGAGAGACATGTGAATCAGAAGACTAGTTCTCTGAAAGGTTCCTGTTCCCAGGCACCTGTCAATGTGGAAGGTAACAGGTTGAAATTAGAGTCTGGGTCCATTGCTTGCTAAGAAGAAGCTATGAAAGGTATCAAGTTAACACGAACACAGTGCTTGTCAACAGGTCCAAGAGCTCCCCTGGGTGACGAGGCACCCTCAGCTAATGAATGCAGCTGTCAGTGCTGTGGGCTAGAGTGTACACATACACAGGTGGGTTACCAGTGTATAGAAGATACTTTTCAAAGTAGATTGGACCAAGTCTCCTGTGTGCACCTGAATATGTTTGTGTGACTTAGGAAGGGGCAGGGCATAGCTAGGCCCCAGGGGTTGTGGAGACCACAGGTCCTTGGCAGGGGCTGTGGGTCTTGGGCAGACTCATGCAGCTAGCACTTGTAGCAGCTTCTAGGTGTACCTCACCAGAGCCTTAATCCATAGGTGGCAAACCCATGGTGTCCCAGAAAGTGCCCTTTCTGCCCAAGTTATTGAGGCAGCGTTTGTGCAAAGAACTTTACCATCATTCCCGAGCAGCTGGAGAATAATGAGATGGAAAGCCCTGGTCAGTAAAGGTTGGCTCTTTCCATTTTCTCCTCAAAGGACAATGCTGGAAAAGCCTCAAGTTCTCACATGCAGCCTATTGTCTGTGGTGTCTGCTTTACAGCTTGAACCTCAGTACTCTCTCTCAGGACTTGGGTGGGGGCAGCAGGTAGAAATTGGAGCCAACCATAGGTCAGGTGTAGGCTAAGAGGGTTGGTTCTCAGTTGTTGCTGGCCAATGATAGGGTTTCCATTGCACAGGTGAGGTTGGGGAGGCAACAGCCCTGTGAAAATTCGGTGGGCTGCCAGCCAGTCTGTTGTAGGGCTATCTTTGTCAGGCCCTAGATGTGGTCTCTCCAAGAGCTTCTGCCTGTGGCTGTTGGGACTCTATTCAATGCACTCAATGCCCACAGCTGGGACAATTTAAACTATCCTGTCAGATAGTAAGGACCACAAGCCTTGGGTGCCAGGGAGACTGCTTTATTGGAAAAGCTACCTGTGTTCTTGTAGGGAACACCAGATATGGATGCTCAAAAGGTCGTGTGTCTTAGTCCTTTTATTGTTTAAAACTTAAGGTCACTAGCTGGGGTTCTTAGATCTTGAAGGCCAAGGTGAGCCCATCACCCAGGGGCAGGAGGCTGATGTAGACCCTGGCGTCCCGTAGAATGCGCTCATTCAAGTTCCGCACACACTCAGCAGCCTTGTCTTTGGGCTTAGGCTGAAGCACCTCCCCGCGCCACAGCACCTGTGGAGGGAGGGGCGGGGCCATCGGGAGTGGGGGCGGGAGGGTGGGGGCTACTTGCTCTGGGCGGGGTTTTGGGGATGGGAGGGGCCGAGACAAGAAAGGATAGAACCGGTCTGGGGGACAGTCTAGCCTTCGCTAGTCCTTACTCTGAGTACTGCGAGCACGCCTCCGGGGCGTAATAGCTGTAGACAGCGTTCGTAGTAGGCCGCACAGTTCTCCTTGTCCGCGTCCACCACCGCTACGTCGAAGGTTCCGGCCTCGCCCGCCGCCAGGAGCTCATCTTGCAGGAACAGAGGGCAGGTGCAGCTGAGCTGCGGTCCTGGTGGCAGGAAGCCCCTGCCCAAGGTTCAGGGTCTCCAGCTTGGTTCCCTATGTTGGATAGTGCAGGCAGAGCCCCTCCCGCGCCGGTGCTCACCCAAAGTCTGCAGGGCGGGCTGCAGCCGAAGGTCGATCTTCTGCTCCACTTCGGCCTGCGGAAGGAGGCCTGTCAGTCCGGCACAACCCCGAGCCCGAACCCGCGCAGCCGCAGGCATGGGATTCTCACCTGCTTCCACAGGGGCCGCCCTAGCTCCGGGGACTCCGAGTCCACATCACAGGTTACAACGCGGCCAGCTTCGGGAAGCGCCAGTGCTAGCGCCAGGGCGGAGTAGCCTGTGAAAGTACCTGTGGACCGGGACACCCACAGGCTCAATCCAGGGTGCAAGACGGCCCGGAGACCCGGGTTCCCAGCGACCTTGACTGCGCGCGCCTACCCAGATCCAGAGCTTTCTTGGCCTTGATGAGCCGCGCCAGATTGGCCAGAAGCTGGGCCTGCTCACAGGTTATCATGGAATCCCCTTGCGGCTGCTCCAGCGTCAGCTGTATGTGGGGAGAGGGTCGTATCGTTCCTGCCAATCACCCGCCCCCGCACAGGTTTTGAATCCTGCAGGGGCGCGGTGGCAGATGTGGCCAAGAGGGGACAGGTCTCAGAACCCGGAAGCCCAGAGTGGTCTGCCCAGCCCAAGGTCACACAGCCACGTGAGATCCACTACGCTGGGAAGTGAGGAGCCTGTTCTGGTCCCCTAGTCCTACTGACCAGTCGCAGGCTCCGCAGCGCCGGATGCTCCCGCATGGAGCGGCTCAGCAGATACTGCCACAGGGGACTGTCCTCAGGGGGCAGCAGGCGCTGTTGTCTCCTGGACCCCCACGGAGGCCACCATCTCCCTGCCGAGGAAAGGGTGTCGGATCAGGGCCTGGGGGTCTGACCGGGTTCTCGGGCTCTGCACCGCGCCCTCCCGTTCCCGGGGCTGCCGCAGCTCACCCAGCAAGACACCAGTGGCGAAGGCGGCGCCCAGCGCGGCCGAGCCCAGGGCCAGCCCGGCGGGAACAGACAGCCGAGGCAGTGGCTGGGCCATGGTACGGGTAGCAGGCGCCGGCCGTGGTCACGTGTGCTGGAGTAGAGGGGACGGGACTGGGACTAGTGGGCCGACTGAGCTCCACCTTGTCCAGGCCTTGCCCGCAGAGCTGCGGCCTCGGGCACCATCTGGTGACACATCGCCGCATTGCAAGGTTAGACTGAGAGAACCGCGCGCCACTCGGTGGCCGCATGTGGAACTGCGTTGGGCGGTGGAGCTCCTGGGGCTCTTGTGTCTGCAGTGTAAATGCTCCTGGCTATCGTTGTTGCTGAGCCCCTCCCACCCTCCACCCCCCAGCTACGTGAGCATGGCGGCGGGGATAAAGTGACAAGTGACTGTGTAGTCAAGAGAGGAAGAGAGACTCGAGGGACCTTCCTTGGAGAGGTGCCCAAGTTGAAGGATCCAAGGACCTGGTTTGGAGAGACTGGGCTTCAGGAGCCCTAGGGTGGGCCTAGTTGGCCTAGTTGGTGGGTTCCAAGACAAGTATCCTTAGTGGCTGGGATGTTGGGTGTGACATTTTGTGCCTGTCGTCTCTCCGACTTTCCTTTTTTTTTTTTTTGTTTTGTTTTTTAAAATTTTTTTAAAGATTTATTAAGTATGTAGAGTTCTGCCTACATATATATCTGCAATTCAGAAGGGGGCACCAAATCTCATTATAGATGGTTATGTGGTTGCTGGGAATTGAACTCAGGGCCTCTGGAAGAGCAGTCAGTGCTCTTAACCTCTGAGCCATCTCTTCAGCCCCTGACTTAACTTTTTGTAAAGCAGGGATTACAGTCTTACCACAAAAGGCTTCCTTGCAAACAGTAGGTGCTCAATAGTGGTAGCTGCTGTTATGGTCATTCGCTATAGAGGGCATCTTGGCACATGGCAGCTGAGTTCCCCATGCAGGGCTATTCGACTACACCAGTACTCCCTAGGCATTTATTGAATACCTACTGTATGCTGAACTCTGGTGGAAGGGGAAGGCAGTTGTGGTTTGTGGCTTGGAGACAACCAGACAGGAACAACTGGTAGGCAACCCCAGTGTTACCATCCCCTTTTCTATACAGTGGAGTCATTACTAGTTCTCACTATACCTAGCACCTGAGAGTTTTGAGTAAAAACACAGGCACAGGCCTTACATTCAGGCCTTGTAGGCTATCCATGCTTTTGTGTGTGTGTGTGTGTGTGTGTGTGTGTGTGTGTGTGTGTGTGTATTTTTTCGAGACAGGATTTCTCTGTGGCTTTGGAGGCTGTCCTGGAACTAGCTCTGTAGACCAGGCTGGTCTCGAACTCACAGAGATCCTCCTGCCTCTGCTTCCTAAGGCGTGCGCCACCGCCACCTGGCTACATCCATGCTATCTTTAAAAAGAGTTTCAATCCTCAGGGTTCCTGAAGTGGTTGCCCTGAAAATCTGTTTCATCTATCTGTCTGTCTGTCTGTCTGTCTATCTATCTATCTATCTATCTATCTATCTATCTATCTATTATTTTTCCTGACAGGTTTCTTTGTGTAACAGCCCTGGTAGTCCTGGAACTCTGTAGACCAGGCTGGCCTCAAACTCACAAAGATCTGCCTGCTTCTGGTTGCTGGGATTAAAGGCATGCACTAGCCCCAATCAGCTGAAAGCCCGTTTCTTAACAACACTGGCCAGTCCCTGAGACCCTCCGAAGGCAAGCAAACTAGAGCAGGATTAGTGAGGGGCCCTACCTAGGAAGGCCAAATTGAGCTGAGTGGCTGGAATCCTGGGCCACAGGAGGTAAAGGCAGGGCTCCTGGGCCAGAGAGCATTGCCTCTATCCACAATCAGGGTAAATTGGCTTCTTGACTATCAGAGTCTGCCTTGTGTGTTTCTCTAGGTGTGTGGTGAGCTCTCCCAGCTGCTCCTGGAACCTGCCCCTAGGAAAAGTTCTTTGTTGACTCCACTTTCAGCTTGGTTCTGAAAGTCTCTAAGTTTGAGTCATGTTCTCCAGGTAAGGACTGAGGGAGAGGAAGTTCCTTAGGGTTGAGCACGCAGCAGGCATTAAATGCAAGCATTCTGAATGATGTCCTGGTACTCCCACTCAGCAGCCAGTGGTAAAAAACAGGGACAATGGAAGCTATGCTGATCATCTACTTGGTGCTCGCAGGTCCCCAGCAGCCCTTGAAGCGGTGGTTATTATTCCCATTCTATAGTGAAGGGAAGCCCTGAACTGGTTCCCTCTCAAAGCTCACTGTCCAGCTTAATTCCTTAATTCCACCATCTTCATCTCCTGGAAGCACACAGTAGGAGCAGGCAGTCCTGCCATCTCAGGACCTCACCTGGCAGGGTGAGGCACAGGAGGCCTGGCTTTAGCTGGAGACCTCTCCCCAATATCTGGGGGTCCCAGTGGCTCGCAGGTCCCCAATGCACACCATAGCCTTCCTCCCACAACCTAGCTTCAGGCAGGAGTGGTGGAGGTGGGGGGGGGGAGCAGGCGAGGAGGGAGCCATGTCACCACATATCCCTGTCAGATTAAAAAACTAATTTGAAAAGATTAATGCCTTCCATTCCTGTTACGTTGGCTCTGATACCTCTGGGCCTGCGGCTGCTCTGTCTCCTGATTATTGAATTTTTATGGCCTGGTAATTAATTGCAGATTCCCTGTTTTGTTCTATTTCTTTTTCTCTGACATTTTAATTTCAACAGAAAGCACTGGTCTCTATGCAGATTCTCTCTGGAGACCCTAATGGTCTATAAAACAGAATGACTTATACACGTGGCACCCACTTCAGTTGGCGAGTGATTGTTTGAAACCTTGCTGATCATGCAACATTTAATTTCCCACCTCCCTCCCCTTTTGCTCCTCATTTCTTGTCTCTTCCACTGCAGTGCACAACGAAAGGAGCCGTGTGGCTCCCAATCTGCTGCAGGGCCTTATCTTAGAATGCTGGGGCCGAAGTTGAGGCAAGGGTTTTGATCCTTCTCTGACAGTGAACTTGGCAGTGGACATGGAGCTGTGAGCATGCAGATAAATGGACATTCTTGGCCAAATTGGGTCACAGTTGTTCATAGACAAAGGGATGGGACAGATCCTTGAGTTTTTGCTTGATGCCTCCCGACTTTTCTTTCATCCAGCCCTGCTAACATCACATAGGTTTGTCCTCTCTTCCACTGCTGGGACTAGGCAGGCCAGAGCACAAACTGAAGCAAGATTAAATTAAGCAAAAGGCCTCTCTCTATATAGCCCAGGTTATCCTTGATCTTCTGTTCTTCACACTTTAGCCTTCCAAATACTGGAATTACAGGGCCAACACCTTGCTGGTTTCTGGTTTTTCTCTCTTTTTTGGTTTTTCAAGACAGGCTTTCTCTGTGTATAGTCTTGGCTGTCCTAGAACTAGCTCTGTAGACCAGGTTGGCCTTGAACTCACAAAGATCTGCCTGTCCTTGCCTTCTGATTGTTGGGATCAAAGGTGTGCGACACCACTGCCTAGCTGCTGGCTTTTTTTAAAGTTGATTTTTTTTTTTTTTTAAACGCGCTTTAGTCACTGACTGCCATGTGGGATGTTTTTTTCTTTCTTAGTTTTCTATTGCCGTATCTTGAATGTCCACACATCTATCAGCTTAAAAATACCAGCGCACGGCCCTCCATCAGCAAGGGAAGGACACCCTGTGAGGTCAGGACTTGTGGAGGCTGGCTGTGGTCGGGTGCAGACCTCTTCCAAGTTCAGGAGTTGTTGGCATAGCTCCCTTCTTTCCTTTGAGAGTCCTACATCTCAAAGGCCAGTCATGGCACCTGGGATCATCTAGTGCGTCTGACCTCTCTGCCTTCCTTCTTGGCTTCGGGAGTGGGGAGTGGAGAAGTGGGGGGAGCTCATGTGGAGACTTCTGATTGCCCTGTTTTCAGGTGAGCTGGCTAGAACCTTCAGTTTCATCTGCAAGGTCTCCTTTGCTAAATAAGAGGTAAGGTCGTTACCAAAAGAAACGTCTATGGTAGAGGTCTTGGGGCCCAAATTCTGCCTACCTCAAACCCCATACCTTCCTGAATAAGGAGGCGGACCCTTTGCCTCCACCCTCGAATAAGCGGATTCAAACAGGACTGTGTGCTCGGCAGGGTTTTTGGATGACACGCCACAGCGCCACCTTGTGGCAAACAGCAGGTTCGATTTTACAACAAACAACAGAATTCTCTCCAAACCTCCCAGAGAGGCCCAGCGGCTCAGCGGGAATGTCGTTTCACCCATCTCATCTTAAGACGGCTCTAACGAAAGCCTAGCGTTTTCAACAGCCCTCATGTCTCGGGGAGACTCCACCACAACTATCGCCAACGGAGTGGTAGTCACATTGCCTTTTTGCTGGATCAACACGTTTGCTCTTACAGGGCATCTGATTGGCTGAAGCACATGCTCCAGTGCTTGCAAGAGTAGTCACCACGGCCGGCTAGACCCTTTCTTTTTCTTTTTCCCTTGCAGAGAAAGTTTCTTTTGCCCTAACTGGAGCTTTGCTGGCTTTGCTGCCGAGAGCACAGTCACCTGGAGTAGAATTCCAGAGCCGCACAGGAAATCCTGCCAGGTGTGTAAACCGGATCGTAGCAGTTAATTCTTAGACAAGTCTTACTGTGTCCTGGCCACGCCTTAGGATTTCCTATTGGCCCTTTTAATCCTCACACCAATAGTGTGCCTGGTGCCACTTTATCCCCATCTTATCTATGTGAAAGCTGAAGCACAGAGAGTTAAAGCAACTTATAAGTACAGCTTATAAGTGGTGGAGTAGATATTTGAACCCAGGCGCTCTGCTTTCAGAACTTACAGTTTTTGAGGACCACATATCCTACAGGAAAGGCCTTCCTCATTGTGTGGCTTCTCTTGGGGCAAGATAGCTGTGTGAGCTCCAGCCATATTCAGACAATCAGGAAAGAGGAAGGACAAAACAGCATCCACTTCCTTTTCATGAGTTCATGAAGCAGAACGACGTCCTGAGCGTCCCCACAGACTCCTACGTTTATTCCTTGGGCAGCAGCCACATGGTTATACTTGCTTCAAGAGGTAACTTTTATTTTTTGTAATTATGAAAAAGCAGTTGTAAGTTTAAAGTTGAAAGGAAGGATGGTGCATACTGGGACCATTTAGCC